AAAAATTAGCTGGGCGTGTTGGCACATGCTGTAGTCCCAGCTACTCAGGAGGTTGAGGCAGGAGAAACACTGGAACCCGGGAGGTGGAGGTTGCAGTGAACCGAGATCCACCCACTGCACTCCAGCCTGGGCCACAGAGTGAGACTCCGTCTCAAAAAGGTACAGTACTGTAATGCATTATGACTAAAGGATTCTGACATCATTGCAACTCAAGTTTCTGGTTAGAATAGGGATGAGAACTCCTAGAGAAATGCCTTTTTAATCTCCAGGACAATGACTGCATGAAAGGATTTTAAAAGGCAGGACTGTTGAGGCAAAGTTCCTGACCAAAATCAGATTCCCAACAGTTAACCCAAAACAGTAAAATGTGGGAAAATCAAGTGTTTTAATTACACTTTAATCTCAGTTCCAACATTTGCTGACTCTGGTTACTTAATTTCTTCATGGAAACTTTTTCCTCCAGAAAAGCTAAGTACTACCTCTATCTTGAAAGGTTGTAAGGATTTAAGCTGATACATACAAATTACCACCCCACCTGCCAACTGCCATCTAGGAAGATGGTGCGTGTTTCTCTAGTTTCTCTGATGAATGCAACCTAATGCATCTTTAATCCTGAATGTCAGTTATTTTGACTCTAGATCTTACAGAAAAAGTACTATTTCTAAATATTGGTTCACTCAAACAAAATTCCATGGTAGGTAATACTTTAATAAGAAGTCATTTTTTTATTTCCTATAGAATTTCTGTCACCCAGGCTGTAGTGCAGTGACCTTGGCTCACTGCAACCTCTGTCTCCTGGGTTCAAGGGATTCTCCTGCCTCAGCCTTCTGAGTAGCTGGGATTACCTGCCACCGCGCCCAGCTAATTTTTGTATTTTTTAGTAGAGATGGGTTTTTACCATGTTGGTCAGGCTGGTCTCGAACTCCTGACCTCATGTGATCCACCCACCTCAGCCTCCCAAAGTGCTGAAATGGCAAGCATGAGCCACCGCACCCAGCCTCCTATAGAATTTCTTAAATGAAGACTTTATAAGATTCCTGTAGCATCAGATTTAGTGATTTGGTCTTTCTAAAAAAAAGGACTAACCTCAAGTTGAACATATTATACACTAATAATAATGTGCCCTAGGTTAATATTTAGTGTTGACCTTGCCAAGAAAAGAGAATCAGCAGCTATCTACTTTCCTATATATCAGATACAATAGGAAACTGGTTTTTTTTTTTTTTTTTGGTGTGGAATATGTTAGATTGTTTTAAATAGCACAGTTCAAAAACGTACTGGCTGACCGCTTCCTGTTCTACCTTTCTATACAGTCATAAATTAGAGAAAACAGCTTTAAATGAAGTTATTTTAAGGTACTGCCAACTAACTTACTGTAGTTTTGGAATTTCTTCCATATCCTCAAGCTCACAGCTCTTTGCCATGGGGAATGCTTTAAAAATCTTTATTAGTAGGGTAATAATTGAGATATTTATTTTAGATGCTCACACCAGAGCACAGAATAGCATTGTAAAAATATAACAAAACCTATAAAAGTACCTCTAAAATTATACAAAGAATATAAATTTAAGATCAGTGGTTTCTAAATTAGTAGCTTCATCACACTTAGAAAGCCACCTCAATTAAACCTGAGGGTGATTTTGGAGGGAAGGCGGCCAGGCAAAAGAATTAAAGGGATACTTACTCCTTCCTGCTACTCCTGAGCAATGAACAATTGATCAGTTACCATCTATTAAAATGATTACTAGCCTAGTTTCAGATCTCAGGCTTCAACTCTAGTTTCCCAGGATATAGTCAAGTGTTTCCGCCAAGCCTGAATTCTTTGTTTCTCTGGTCAGAAATTCACTGCATCTTGCTAAAGTAAGTACAGGGCTTGAAAGGGGAAAAAACAAAAGCACATCAGTTTCACCAAGGAAAGGGAAATCTTGAGCCAGCAAAACAACAACCATAACTTTCAGCCCCAAGTTGAGAAAGTTGTTCTTCAAACAAAACGCCACTTTTCTCCTAATGAGTATAACTATGGCTCTTTCGGCTGTATTCTTAAAAAAGACTTAAGTGGAGAAACAAATTACAGTTTAAATAATTCCAGTGACTATACTGGTTTTGTTTTAAATGAACTGGTATGTGGTGGAAGTAAATTTCCAGTTTTTATTGCCTGAGAACTGAAAGATTAAATATCCCAAACTTGGTATTTTTAGCTACTTTAGCTACCACAAACCCCATGTTGTTATTAATTCTGCTTTACCCCAATCAAGGCCACAAAAGAACAACCTTTATATAGGTAAGCTGAAAGGCAGAAAAGGCAATCGAAACACCTCACAGAAATCTAACGCCATTTTGTTTTACTTACTTTTGGCTAGGCCAAAACAAATCATTAGAATGCTCCATCTATAAAACTGATTTCTGAACCTCTTAAGATGTTTCTTAAGAACATAACCATACACATATATAGGCCTTTTAAATGACAGGTTAAAGGGCGCCAATTATTAGGGTTTTTCTGTTTGTTTAAATTACAGTATTACCTGTTATTTTGCCTGCTATGCTCTTCCTCTCCACTGCAGTAAAAATTCAGTTTAACTTGCAACTCAAAAATCCTAGATACAAAGAATGTACATTTACTGTTGAACTTGTAAATTGTCATTTATACTAATTGATTGCTTCATAGTATTACTTAATTCAGCAGATATTTATTGACTCAAGATTTTAACAAATATAAAATCTTGTTGGTTTTAATAGATTTTCTTCCTATTTCAGATACTACCCAAGTTAAGGCAAAAAGCTAAATCAAAGCTTTAAATATCTTTTTTTGGCTGAATTTACAACCGGTAGTTTTTACCTTATAAAAATTATAATTATAAAAATACAATCTATAGACACACATGAGTCACAAAACTAGTCTTCCATTATGTTAACCTGATGGTCTCCCTTGCTATTTTTAAGGCAGACATTCAGCATTAGAATTGCACACCGGAAACAGATACACACACACCACTCATTGTGACAACAAACTTTTTTTTTAAAAATGTGCTGCTACATTACTGATGCATCTTGTTTTGGTTTGATGCCTAGCCTTCATAATTAGGCTAAAAGGTAATTTTCTTCATTTCAAAAGTCAAACTTTTATAGTTAACAAAACAGTTCTTAACGGAGATGCACATCAGGATCACCTACAGCGTTTGTCAGACAGACATACCTTGGCCTGGATAAGTCTAAGGTTGGTCCCAAGCCCACAAATTCCTCTTAAATTTTAAACAAGCATTAGGGGTGACTTCTACTATAACCTTCACCCCCTTTCCATTAAGAAACATGCCCTAGGTATAAAAATTAATTCAAACCTTTAGGAATACTAAATATATCTTATCGCCTTGGTAATTTGGTAACATTTCAATAATATAGTTATAATTGGATGCCTCAAATCATAAGCAATGGGTATTGTTATCCATTGTTAATGTGGACTGCTCTGCAAGTTAAGGAGAAAATATTAGATAATTCACCATTGCCACTCTGCAGACTAATAGCAGACACTTCTATAGTGCTTATGCCAGATACTCTTAAGCTCTTTACACACATGAACTCAATCCTTAAAACTGAAACAGATTTTTCCATTCTACAGCTGAGAAAAATGAGTCAGAGGAATACACAGTTAATAAATGGGAGGCCAGGATTCAAACACTAGTCTGATTCTAGAGTCCTTGCTGTTTTCCAATATGCTCTGTGGCCTCTCTACATGGTAATTAAAACAACACTTGTTACCTGTGATTACTACTAAAACTAAACATTTGGTTATGAATTTTGGGGATGTTAGGACTGTGCTTTCCTTGAAATGGTAACAACAGTCAAATGTCAAGCTTAAGTTACCTAAAACCATTTCTACTTAGGGGCCCGTAATTCAATACTTAACATTTCAGTCTGTCACAATCTCCTTTTTTAATGGGGAAAACTTTAAGTCTCCTTTCTTAATGGGGAAAACTCTACATTAAATTTTCTAACAAAGCTTCGTAAGGCCAAGGTTTATATTTTGTTTTAGAATAGAGAGCTGTACCATACTTCTCATTGAGCACCTTCTCAAATTCAGTATCACACCGTGACAGGTAGTGTCTCCCCAGGAGTCCTACCTCTTAGTTTAATTCAGACACAAAAATCATCCTGACACTAGGATTTTCCAAAGGGTTACATCTAAATCTTGGACACAAGGATTGATTTCATCCTATATGTCTACTTTCAAAATTTTTTTTTTTTTTTTTAATAAGGCCACTTTTATTCCTTTTCTCTCTCCTACTGCAAAGTCCTCTGGGAAAACTAAGGTCCCCCCTAGGGTCAAAAGAGGGACAACACTGTTTACAAACATCAGGTGAATTACTATTCATTCAAACACCACCAAGGTAATCTCAACAAAAACCGTTTTCTGGGGTCACACAATGGCATCATATTCTTTCCACTGCTTTTTAATTCGAAGGATTATCTTGCAGTCCATCAGGGCTACTCTTGATTATTGAGAAGCTCTTAAGATGTTGCAATAATAACAAAGTATCAGTATATTTGGTTTAGAAGTTTTCAGGCTTCAAGGAGCCCTTCTGTTACTGCAATTTGTGCCTTTCTGTCCTTTGTGTCATACCCTGTGGCCACAAATTATATGGAACAGTGACCCTCCTGGGTTGAGAGGGGGTGAGGGTGGAAGGGGGAGATGAAGAATTCTACCTACCACTGTCCTAAGTTTCAATTTATAAAAAAAAATAAAATTCATGAAATAAAAACTTATTTTCCCCTTCCACCAAAAACCTACAAACACCCCTTAAAATAAAGACATCCTATAAACACATACCTGATTTGTCCTTTAGGATCCAATTTCTTCTGTCTAATGGAAGGAATACTTAAGGATTTACTGAAACCTTTATCACACAATCAGTATTCTCTTCCATGGCAATGCTGTGTGCAAGTATTTGGAGGTACTCTCTGTAAGTCTGGCAGCTAAAGACTTAACCCTTTTTTTTAACACACCCTAGAGATTTTAAAAACACTTTATTTAATAAAAGTTAAACATACAAAACTGAAATTAATACACATCCTAAAAATCACCTTCTTCCATTAATAGGAAGACCCTTTTCTATGCATATATTTGGCTTAAACTCAACTCAGGATAACTGTGATGTTCACTTACACCAACAAATGCAGACAACTTGATCTAATTAACAAAATTACAAACTCAGCTAAATGAACATAATATACAGGGAAATTATGGTCAGATTAATGCACAAGAAATATGAGAAATATTTAATGATGAAACATTCAGTACTCTTGCTCATTAATTTAGCCTTGTGTTTTTACAAAAATAGTATCTACACTGTATACAGGGCTATACATCAGCTTTTTGTTCTCCCATATAAACATTACACATCCAAAACATGGTACCACTGCCGAAAATGGGAAAAAAAAAAAAAAAAAGGAAAAAAGCAAACATACAAAAACCAAAAACACCTTAGAAAAGGGAGCTCATCCTAAACATGGTTTCTTACATAAAACTAAGAGTACATAAAAATAAAAGAGCTAGATCAATTTTAGAGATGGCCCAATAGGCCTAGGAAACAACTGAGGAAAAACCTCAAAACAAACTTTGCCATTTACAAATTAACCTATATTTAGGCTTAACTGAACGACAGCTAAGTTTTAAAATTAAAAATAAGAAAAATGAAAGGATCTCTTTAGCAGGTTCGTGTTTTTTGCCTTGGTGTTCCAATGAATTGCTAGAGTATGTGTCAAGTTCAAAGCATCTGAAAACTCCAAGTTACAACTTACAAAAAGTACATACCATAGGTTAAGTGGGGGCCTGATATTAGGACGATCAACAGTTCATCTAAGTGCTGTACGAAGCAGCATCTACAAAAGTTGCTTTATTCAACAAACTTTGAGGGAACTGTGGTAGTAGTAAGAAGAAAAGTTAAATGAATACCGGTTATCAATTGCAATTTCTTCACGTTTCATTCTACTGAAGTCAACCAATGACGACAATGGTATCTTGCTTACTCATCTAACAAATAATTTACCTTTAGAAAAATATAAGGATAAAAAGGTAAATGTAAAGCCCTGAAGAGATGAAATCCAACAGTTTTTCTGATTATTGAGGCATCAAATGCCTGACATTGTATTTAGAGGTATCTTGATATTGTGTCATAGGTTTATCAGCAATTCCACAAGTTCCTACTCCAACTTTGCCAGTCACACTCTCAGGTGAAGCAAAAATACTCCTCTTTACCTAGGAGAAAGAAAACAGAAATCATTCCTCATGAGTGTTGGAAAAAATAAAAAAATTCAAATTTTAAGTAATGTTAAAATATATTCTGATTTCAATGTTTAAAAGAAGAAAAGCGTATTGCCTTTGTTTAGTGTTAAAACAGGGATATGGAAGTGGTCCCATGCCAGAAGCCATTTACTCTAAGTTGTTCAAAATATCACTAGACACTTATTAATACTCCTAACACTTGCCTTCCGATATCTCACAATTTTAGTTTTGCAAACTCCAATCCTAATTTCAGCTGTGAGCTATCCATTTTAGCATGATTAAAACTCTGGCTGTACTGCAGTTTACTGTGGGGCCTGTTACAATATCTAAATTGTGAAGTCCCTTGGCCTTTGTCACAAAGTTAACTTCTTTGTGAAAAGGAAGCACTTCTTTCCAGAAGCCATGTCCATTAGTCAAAGGGCTACCTTGATGGCAGTGAAGAGTAACATATGCGTGCAAGTCTTTTCCTTATTCTGAACTTCCTATATGAATGCTACGGTTATTTTCTACCCAACACACACTTAGAAAGGTAAGGGTATCAAGGGCAACTGAATGCTTTTTTAAATAAAATCTACCAGCGATGCCCAGCATCAAGGCATGTTAACCAAAGCAGGTAGAGTTAAGCACACTGCCTCTAAGTAGCAAGTATTTTTTCAAATTTTAGTTCATAAACGGAAAAGAACATAGACCTTTTGCAATTCCTGATGTAAATTCTCCCATTCCTAGTATTTTTATTGCAGAGACAATGCCTAACATTTTTCAATAAGCTAAATTGACCATCAACAAGGAGTCTCAACATAAAATGAGTTAATCATACTATTTAAAAAAATCTACATACTTCTCTCTTCATTTTAGTTATTTTAATGACAGCTATATTTCTCAAATTTACGAAGTGTCATAAAAAGATTTACCAACCTGGCCTTTTTTGTTTTTAGAATAGGCTCTGTTGTTGAATTGTTGCCATTTCACTTTCTGGTCCTCTCTTTCCTGTTCAAGTTCTTTTATTCTCTGAGCTTTTTTCAAAGCTTTCTTCTTTTTATATTCACGCTGCTGAGCAATCATTTCTTTTCTTCATGAAAAAAAGTTAAATGTCAATTGTTAAGATTTATTATAAAAGAATGACTTCCTTGAAGACACTGGCAGTGCAAAAAAAAAAAACTAACATATATAAAATGGTCTATGAATAAAAGGCACTAACTCATTAAAATCAGTACCAATCACCCAGAATTACTAAGAATTTTTTTTTAATAGCATCCTTGGAAGCTTTCAAACATAACTGCAATCTGTTTACCCAGATAAAGTAAATATTTCAACTATGACTTCTTTTTTTGAGACAACCTCATTCCGTCACCCAGGCTGGAGCTGGAGTGCAGCGGCGCAATCTCGGCTCACTGCAACCTCTAACTCCTGAGTTCTGGCGATTCTTGTGCTTCAGCCTCCCAAGCAGCTGGGACTACAAGGTGTGCACCACCATGCCTGTATTTATGTTTTTAGTAGAAATGAGGTTTTGCCATGTTGGCCAGGATGGTCTTGAGCTCCTGGCCTCAAGTGATCCTCCTGCCTTGGCCTCCCAAAGTGCTGGGATAATAGGCATTTACTGTGTCCGGCCTCAATTACGACTTTTTATTCTACTTTTATATAGCTGCTGGACAGTTGTTTTAGAAATAAGTGGAGTTTCAGTATTAGTGGGTATCTAAGCCTTCATCTACTTCCAAATAGACAGATTTAACAGGTGCAGCATTTAGAAAAAAATGTATGAAGAGACTTAATGCTGATAAAAGTACTTCACCTACACTGGAAGAATGCAGCAGCACAAAGGGAAATGCTAGCTAACAATTCTCACCAAAACAAAACACCTGGGGGTTTCAAAAAACATTCTAAATAGGATCAGAGCCTAAAACTCCCAATAATTTCAAGAGGGGCAATATCTAGACTCCCTGGTATCCTATCACCACTATGTAGCTATGGCTTTTTACACAGACATCAAAGCCATAAAAAATTACACACAGTTCCAGAATTTAATTTTATGGGGATGCTTACGTTATTTAATATATAATTTTTGCATATTCAAATATAAATATGTAACAACTTAAGTTCTGAAAACTCTTGACAAATCAAAAGACTAAGTTATGGCAAATATGCAGAAGTTCACCAAAATATTGTTAATTCTGCCTCTTAAATGCTATTCAGAACTGCACAGTTCCCCATTCCCACTGCTACTCCCCGGGTTCAGGCCATCATCTTATACCTGGATCACAGCAGTAGATGCCTCTCTGGACTGACAGTGATCACTGTAAAGCTCAAATCTAATCCCATCATATCCCCTCTATTTAAAATGTTATCAGTGACTTACAAGCCCTTTACATTCCGGACTTTACCTCTCTCTTAGATGACCCACTTTCCAAGTCCCAAATTTTTACCACAGGGATTTGTTACTTTTATGTGCTCACCTCCCTTTAAAAAAATTTACTAAGCTCTACCTACTGTAAAGAACTGTGTTATAAGCTTTACTAACACTTATTTCAATCCTCACAACCCAATAAACTACTGCCCCTATTTTACAGACAAGGAAACAGTTAAACAGCTTATCCAAGGTCATAATGCTCATTAATAACAAAAAGAATTTGACCTCAGATCAATGTCATGCCATGTTGCAGTTTTGTACTTGGCCATCTCTTATTCTTTTCAAATCTCAGTTTACATGTCATTTTCACAAAGAAATCTGCCTTAATAATAAAAGTGTAGGCCGAGTACCTCTTGCTCCCTTACAGTACCTGTTATACCCACTTTGTAAGGTTTACACTCTGTTATTAAAGCACTTCATTAATGATGAGTTTACTTCTCTATATACTCAGTTGGGACAAGGCCCAAATTGGTCTCCTCTGGTATAGCACTAGCACCTGGCTTATAAAATATACTGGGAAGATGTTCGCTGTACATAGTATCTTTTTAATATTTACTGAATGCCTAATTGGGAATCAAAATATCTTCACTTTACTTAGACACACATATACAATGTCTACCTTTTGTGGCTCATCTCTAAAACAACAGTAAAACAGTATTGTAACTTTCTTATGCATAGATTCTCTCTGCAGACTACCTCAAATATCCAAATGGGGAAGATTACACCTAAAATAGTGAAGTCAAAGTCACTTACTTTGACATGGGTTTGTTGCCACTGTCCTCCTTTGCCTTCCTTCCTTCTTCTACAGGCTTGAGGTTCAACAGTGGAGTCACTTCAGCATTGCCATAACCAGCAAAGGTGATTGCAGCGGTGCCATTTTCTTCATCTATCTCCTCAATCTCCGCTTCATAACACCTGTAAAGATATCATGGCTGTAAGCAGGTGAGTAAAGGTTTAGTACTCAGCCTACAAGACTTATACTGCAGTGATACAATTATTACATGTGTCTATAATAAAACTTCTATAGTCAAATGGTTGTTTTAGCAAAGAGAACACAAGAGTGGTTGAAGTTAGTCATCTGCCATCAAAAAAAGGATGTCCTCATCAAAATATTGCTGGGAAAGTCTCTTACACGTATCTACCCAACGTGCTTTAATCTTTTTGGGAAAAGATGTTTCTTTCAGGCTGGAGTGCAGTGGTGCAATCTTGACTCACTTCAACCTTCGCCTCCGGGGTTCAAGAAATTCTCATGCCTCAGCCTTCCAAGAAGCTGGAATTACAGGTGCACACCACCACACCTGGCTGATTTTTGTGTTTTTAGTAGAGCTGAGGTTTCACCATGTTGGTCAGGCTGCTCTCGAACTCCTGACCTCATGCGATCCACCTGCCTCAGCCTCCCAAAGTGCTGGGATTACAGGCATGAGCCATCACACCCAGCAAAAAGATACTTCTTATAGGAATGATTTCAGTGTCTGCTCTTCACAGAAGTCTCAAAAAAACCAACCATTCACTCAATTTTCAATTTGAGGAGAAAAGCATTTAGAAAACACCCATTCATTGTCCTGTGTTTCTTTTCTCTAGAATCCAAGCCATTCTTCTCCAAACTTAATCGAAAGCTAAAACTAAACTGTATTAATGGCAACCACCCAAGAATCAAATTGGCTCTATAAATCATACTGCCTAATAGAAGTAAAGTTTAAAATAGGGTAGTTAAAACTGAATAAAAACTTCTTACCATTGTATTTTATTATTTCATGTTATAGTTAGAGTTTTTTTTTCTACACTTACTGTCCATCTTCACTCCAGATTGCCATACACTTGTCTCCTACTTTCCATGAATGAGTAGGCTGAGTAGAAGCAAAACTGTCTGAACTTGCAAGCGTCTCAGAAGGTTGAGTTGACAGAAGGTCTTTGGTTAGTTCTATAACTTCCTAAAAAAGAAAAAACACACATTATTTTTATAATTCTCATTGTCAACTTTGTTTTTGATGACAGCTTTCATAGTGTACATTAATGAAGTACTCTACATGTATTTCATTTGCAGTTCATAACACTATTAAGGAAGTACTGATTATCCCCATGTAGAAACAGATACAGTATTTTCTACAAATGGTAGAGCTGTGATTTAAGCCCACATAGTTGTCTTTCAACTTAACCACAAACACTAATGAAACTTGTAAGACTTGAGCTTATACCATTTTTAAGTGCCTATTTTAGCTGAATAATCTCTCTAAAGATGATAAAGTATGAGGGACTGAATTAGATACTCTTATTGTAACATATATTTTATGCAACTGTACTGTTTTATAGGGCATTACTCAGCAGCATTAACTGCCTAGCAATCACTTTAAGCAGCCTTATTAGTAACAAAAATGTTCCCCCTTATACATATCTCTACTAAAATACTGCAGGCATATGTAAAAGAAACCGGTAGTCTTCCTATTTAATTATTATAAAACTCACCCCATCCGGGTAAGCAAATTACCAGGTTAGATTTTAAATGTTCCATACCTTAATGTTAAGCACATTAGCACAGCTTCATTTAAAAGGCGGGGGGTGATACATATAGGCAGGTAATGCTTTTCTGTGTGACAAATATTTTTTTCTAATTCAGGCTTACATTTATTGACTTCATTAAAAAATGTTTGGTGTAGGGATGGTTAATAAAACTGAAAATGGTACAAGCTGACAGATTCTGCTACCTATCTGCTATATTTTAAATGAAGATCCATACTATGCATCTTAATCTAAGAACTTGCGTAACTGTTTACCCATTGTTGCATTTAAAACATCATACTGTGTGTCTGGGGAGAAAAATTAACAGTTAAACTGTGTACTGAGTTTCTTCTAGCTCCTACTGAGGTTTTATAATAGTAATTCTGATTCAGTAGCCAAGAAAGTTAAATATTACCTCTCTCCTAAAGATTCTAAATCTTCCTGGCTATTTCTGAAAAACTAACATTTGAGTCTTAAATCTCTTGAAGAAAGGTTAGTTTTATAAATAAATAAATAAAACACTTAAGTTTGAGTTAAAAATTCAGTAGAAATAATATCTAGTAAGTTGTATTAGTTGCCAACCTGCCATTAATTAGACAGTCCTTTGCAGATAAAGCAAAGAACTTTCCAAATAACTAGATCAAGTAGCACACAAAAGAAGAGTAAATTATCTGGTCTTGTTTTTAGTTAACCACTTTTAGGGCTAGGAATGTAATCTAGTAAGCCTGACTTAAGAGCCCACACTATCTCTATCATTAAATACTTCCACATCCACCTAGGGATCATGTAACCTAAGCACAGATATGAATTCTGCATTTGTAGGTTTCAGATTTAGAACTCCATTTTTTTTTAGGACAGAACATTTTCCAAATATATTTTGTTAAAGGAACATATGTCATCAAACCATTCAGAGGCTGAATGACCCTTTTTTAGAAAAAATCCAGACCATTTACTCCTAAGGTCCTTTAACTTTGCCATGGTTTTATATAACCCTCCCAACAAACTATGAAGAACCTTCTAAATTTCTTTTCTTCACATGTGCGTATGGATCAAAGTATTAGAAAAACTATTTTATGTATGAGGGGGTTCTTGAAGGTACATACCATTAATTACTTTTCCTCCCTCAAGTCTGAGTTCTGAAACTGCTCCTTCATCGACAGATGGGCAGCAGTTACAGTAATCGGCAATTCCAGGAAGCATCAGGTGTTGTGATCTACATATCAGCAGGTCAAAGGGGGTGCACTCAAGCACTCTGCTTACTGAAGGAAGGCGTTTCGGGGATGTAGAGAGCCACTGTAATATATGAGACAAGTGACTTGACCCCTGCCTCCTTTAGAACCAGCTTATTCAGCAAAACAGCCTAATAAATTGACTATTTGTGATTATCACATACTGCCCGGGGAGCTAGTCAGCTAGCTAGCCTGGATTTTATCACACCCACTTTTTTAAGTGAAAAAAGACAGGACTTTAATAGATTAATGTGCTGCCTGCTGAATAACTTTAGTCTCTATGAAAGACAGTAAATGAAAGAGATAAATATGGAAACCTTACTGGCAAAATGAAGTCACTGAAAAAATGCAGAAAAAGTATTTTGTTATAAATCAAAGGGCAAACAAATCAATAACCAGGATAAGGATATAATTCTATAGAAGAACTTAAGAAATTAGAAACCATATGATGGTCAAAAAATAATATGAGGAAGCCACAAAATCAGTCTGTACAGGCTTCTCACCAAATATAACAGGCAGAATTAAATACCCATAGCGCGAGATATATAGCCCAGAAGGCAGAGAAGGAAAAAAGAGGGGAGTGGGGCGGAACCCCATAGCAAAAAGCTGTTAAGTGTTGTCTCAATTACACTTGAGACAACACTTACTTGGTGGACGCATATAGCCAAATACTTTTCAGAATATTACCTCATCTTAAAAGATGCTTTCCATTTTTGAGTAGTTTTCAATCCAAAACAGACCTTATCTAGTAATCAAAATGAAATTTCTGATAAGACAAGAAGAAATTTAGATCAAGACTGATCAGGAAAAACATACTGTTACTACTCTCTGAGGCATTAGAACTTACACTTCTAGATCCCTGACATTCAATTTGGTAGTCACAGGTGGCTAATTAAGTTATATTAAAAACCAGCTCCTAAGTAACCCTAGCAGTATTTCAAATATTCAATGGCCATATGTGACTAGTGGCTATGGTACTGAACGGCAGATACAGAACATTTCCATCATGACAGAAAGTTCTACTGGACAGTGCTGTTCTTAACGGTTATAGAAAAGAGGATACTTTACAGATAAATGATTTCTCAGTCATTATTAACTGAACCCCCAGGCAAGCCTTTTAGGTGCTTACTACAATGCTTATCACAATGGTTTCCCCCTACAGTACTTTCTCACTATGATGACCATGTCATAGTAAGGCAGTTCTGCCCAGACTCTAATGACGAATTATTCTAGAAATATTAAAAAGACCTGATGATAATGCTATTTCTAACTCCATTCCCAACTTCCCCAACCTGATCAGTTCAACAAATACCTCCCGCCCACTGCCCAGGAAACAATACACAAAACACTAGCACCCAATGTTTTCTTTTCTTAAAAAAGAACTGCTTGTTAAGTCAAGGCATCTCTCTGGGGTAAACGGAAAGTCAGTGCTTTACAGAGTGTAAGAAAAGAAGAGGTCAGCGTGCCTCTGATGCCTTATTTCAATGTATACTCACAACACGTGAGCAAATCAAATGGACAGGTGGCAAACCACTGAGTTATTTTCTACTTAAGGGCCTGGGAGTGGGAGAAATTACTCTCAAAACATCTTTTTCTTATTGAGTGGCACCCTGAAGCCCATCGGCATGGCTTCTACCTATTGAAGAGGGGTCTTGTTCACACTGAAATTATGCCAGATAGTTTGTATTTTAAAATAACATACTACTGCAATTTTATTCTAAATCTAGAACTTGAAAATATTCAACTCATCTTAATTATGCCCAGATAAGCAGTTTCAGAATCCCAAATCTGGACCCTATTTCAGGTAAGTTTGTTTGCAGTTCTGATATCCCTAAAATAGCAATAATTTAAATGGGATAGCCCCAAAATAGCACTGGGATAAAAGGAGGGAAAGAATTTTTAGACAGGATACAGATTCGAGTTTAGTCCTCAATTGGTAAAGCAATCTCTAATCAAAACATCCTTGAAAGTTTTTATAAATCAGGTTCAGAATTTAAAGAAGTTCTTAAAAGTCATATATGTTTACAAATTATATATGGCATTTTTCTGAATCAGCCTGGTGTCCTGAGAAACAAAAGATATTTACTATTACGGCTCTGTTTGTCTTGAAATCCCAGTGCAGGTTTTAAAAAAGGTTTCCCATCTACTGAGCTCTCCCATGACAAAGATCTCCTTTTCACCATATAGTTCAATTTCCGTAAGTGTCAACAACTTCACAGTAAAACCTAGCCTTAAATCTGAACATCTAATGTAACAATTATACAAAGAACATGTCTCTCTTTAGTCATTTCTATGGTGTGTTTTCAATATGTAGCCCACTAGCTTTGGAAAAAAAAAAAAAAGGAGTCCTGCATTTTCCAAGAATCTTGTTGTATTAAAAAGAATCTTAAGGTTCTATTTTTCTCCTTCAATCTGATATTTTTTGAACTAAATTTCATTTGTCAGGTCTTAAAAAATAAAAGCATTTTTCATTGTGAAGTTATATGTGCCCCTCCTCTTGAAAATTTGACACTTAGAAATTTCTATCAACTTTTGTTTTTAAAAATTATATAAGCACACAAGATTTACATAACATTTCATTCACTATGAAGTTCAGAAACTGAGAAATGGGGAAGGAACCCCACTTCTACAAGCCACAGTACCTACACAATTTACATATATACAGGGAGTGGGATGTAACCCCTCAAAAGGTGCTTTGGGTCCCTATGGATTCAAGCAATAAATAACTTGAAAAACAAACCAAAAAAAAACCCTACAATTGTCTACCCATACTTACTTGTAAATCTTTCTTCAATTTTAACAAATCTTCATTTTCTCCATTTCCAGATAATGCAGCTTCAACTTGCTGGAGTTGAGCTTTGTAGCTTGCCAGCTGCTTTGCTAAATCCTCTGACATCTGGGGAAAATAAAAAGGGTTAGACCATGAAAACTGAACCAAAAATCAAGCCGTAAAAATCTAACTTCCTTGTCTGCCTGAATTAACAGTTTTTGCTTCCAATTCCTTCTAACAATGCAGCTTAATTTACCGCCATTACCTTTACTCTCAGTTTAGACTTCAGCTAAACCACAAACTTCAAGGCAACAGATTCTGAGGATTATAAAGTTGTGAGATACATTCCATACTTTAAAAAAGGCGCGGTGGCTCAAGCCTGTAATCCCAGCACTTTGGCAGGCCGAGGCGGGTGGATCACGAGGTCAAGAGATCGAGACCATCCTGGTCAACATGGTGAAACCCCATCTCTACTAAAAATACAAAAAATTAGCTGGGCATGGTGGTGCGTGCCTGTAATCCCAGCTACTCGGGAGGCTGAGGCAGGAGAATTGCCTGAACCCAGGAGACGGAGGTTGCGGTGAGCCGAGATCGTGCCATTGCACTCCAGCCTGGGTAACAAGAGTGAGACTCCGTCTCAAAAAAAAAAAAAAAAAAAAAAAAAAAAGCATACAGAGACAAATTTCTAATTTTCTTTTAACTCCTATCCAGAGGGTAGGCACTGAATTCGGCTCAAAAATCAATATTATTTTTTTAAAGAAGCACTACTCTGTTGGAAGAGTCGAAACTTTCAAAAACAATCCAAATACTTATTTTTAAGCACTAAAGTATGCTTCTAAAGCCAAACAAGTACGTTTTCAAATTAACTACACAAACAACTATCTCTACTTGAACTATTTAATTAAGAATGTATTTAAAAGTGCTTCTCCAGAACAAAACTCTTTGGCCCAGTTGCTTAAATATTTATCGGTGCATTAACTTTAGTAAAAAGAACACCACAGGACTCTCCCATTTAGGCATTCTAAGGAATGTGCCTTTCGCCAAACCCAGCTCACTCATTTTCCTGAAAATAAGACTATCAACCCTTTTCGATGGTTTATAAGCAAACGTACGACGTTTCCGACGACCCTTCACTTTCGTAAAATTTCCGTCCAACCTAAGGCTGGAGCCTGGAAAGGTCCCCCCGAGAGTTACAGCGAGCCAGGCTGCTCTCCCCGCCATGCAGCACCTCAAAGCCCGCCACAGCTCGATCATTCAGACCTGGAAATCCAAACGCCAGCTCCAAGGCCACCGCTGGAGCCCCGCTGCGCTACAACAGGCTCCAGACAGAACCTCGCGGCGCCCAGCCCCACCCGACCCGGTCCCCTACGGGCCGTATTCACCGCCGCCGCACGGAAGCCAGCGCCGGCCAGGCCGCCGAGGCTCAGCTCCAGCTGGGAGACGGCCGTGGCTCCGGGTTCCAGGGCCAGCGCCCGGGCGTCTCCGGTGAGGCGGGCTCCTCGGCCTTGGGCCTCCGCTTCACCACGGGAGGAACCGGGGGTCGGCCAGGCCTCACTCTTTCCCTCAGGGGGATTGTTACCTTGTGTGGGGGCTGGGGGCGGGGCGGCGGGAAGGGGTCGGGGCAAATGAGCTCAATGGTAGTGGCGGCGGCAGCAGCAGCAGTAGCAGGAAAATATCCGCGGCGACAAGGCGACTCGGTCTGAAAAGGAAAAATTCGGTCCGCGGCAAGGGGGAGGGGAGAAAAGCCGGGCACTGGAAGGAGGAAAGACAGAGGTGCTGAAGTCTCGCGAGAAATGCAAAAATCGCGCGAGGTCGCTCGACTCACGTGACTCCGCGCGCCCTCTAGCCTGTCCCTGGCTGGTAGTGACGCAAAGTACGCGGGGCCTAGGAAGGAAATGGCGTAGTTGGGCTGCGCCAGGCGCGGAATGTAGGTTATCTTCCTGGGGTTCCGGCTTGGAATTTATTGGAAATGGGACTACTCAAGCCTCACCCCAGACTTCCTGAGTGCAGAGCCTCTGTTTCAGCAAGCCCGCCAGTTGATGCTGATGCCAGCTGAAGTTTGAACTACTGCTTTCTGGGGGCGGTGGAGGGTGTTGGGGGATCTCCTTATGTTGCCCGGGGTGGTCTCCAACTCCAGGGCTCAAGCAATTTCCCCGCATCGGCGTCCCAAAATGCTAGGATTATAGGAGCAAGCCATCGCGCCCAGCCTGAGAACCACTGCTTTATATGATAAAAGCCTTAGTAGCAACAGACAGCTAATTAAATCCTGACAGAACCTATTGGAGAGGAGATTGATTTATTTTGTTAAAACCTACTTGATTTTAATTAAGTTATGTTAATCTCGCCTGGCAGAGGACAAAGTCCAAGTTAGTCTAGAATTACGGTAAACAGAGTGGTAGGAATACTGACATTTATGTTCAAAATGAAATGTCCCTTGTGTATGTTTGTAATATACGTACACGCGTTCTGGACGGATACACAAACCTGCCCAGAGGTTTGGAGTGGAAGCCAAATGTTTTATTGATTACCCTCTTAGTAGTTTACCCTTTTCTTTTTTTAAAAAACCATATGTATATGATTTTATTTCAATTAAATACAATAAAGGCCTAAGACACAAATGGTTATACGGATGCCAAGAAGCAACCTTTCCTGGGAGGTTGGGAATTTGTTGCTGGACCCATAAAAATGCACACTTCTGGCCGGGCGCCGTGGCTCACGCCTGTAATCTCGGTACTTTGGGATGCCGAGGTGGGCGGATCACGAGGTTAAGAGATCGAGACCATCCTGGCCAACATGGTGAACACCTGTCTCTACTAAAAAAAAAAAAAAAAAAATTAGCTGGGCGTTTGGCGTGTGTCCGTAGTCCCAGCTACTTGGGAGGCTGAGGCAGGAGAATCACTTGAACACAGGAGGCGGAGGTCGCAGTGAGCCGAGATTGTGCCCCTGGGACAGAGCGAGACTCCGTCTCAACAACAACAACAACAACAACAACAACAACAACAAAAAAAAACAAAAAAAAAAAAAAAAAGGCCCACTTCTCAGATGGCCTCTCTTTAACTGTGCCAACACCTTTAGTTCCTTCTTGTTTTCAAGGAGCCTTCCCTTTTAAAAGTTCTCTATATACACACACACATAACCCTTATAGTGAGTCAGATAACCTGTAGAGATGGAAACTAGGTCAGGTTTGTGAGTGTGATTGGGATGGTAGGCAACTTGTAAAGATTGAAATTGCAGCAGAGGGCAGCAGTGTGTAGCTAGAATTAAGAGGTAAGACAAACCAGAAAGCATGTGCTTTTAAATGAAGAGATTTGTTTAAAATAAAATGTAGCTTTGGAGAACTGCTGTTATTCTAATTGTGTCTTTTAAGAACTGATGCCAGGAATAACATCCTTGAATATAAAGTAAACTTTACAGTTGTGTAAAAATCTCTTAAATAAGAGAACTTTCCCTGATCCCCATAGATCAGAAAATAGGGAAATATTCATTATGAGTTCCATTATAGATTTCTATACCATCTTAATAGTTTTGTTTTCAGGATTGTTTTAAATCTATCTATGTAACATTCATTTATAAAGAAAAGCTATATTGAATTTTAATTTTCACAAAGAAATAACAGTTATACGCACTAGATACCATTCTAAGCACTTTACACGGGTTCATTTAATTTTCACAATTGTATGCGGTGTTGCTCCAGACGAAACTGGAGCAAGAATAAGCTTTGACTAAGAGCGATACTTCGAATAGGCTTTCTGAATTACCACTTCCTTTGAAGTGTCAAAATTTACTTTCAGCGTCTGATTTTTCTTAAAACATTTGCATTCAAACTTAATCATGTTTATTCAAAAGAGCAGTGTCTTAAACCTTTAGTTTTGAAAACTGATATTTATTTTATTGAAAGGTAGTAAATAAACACAATTTAAAGGCTCCAAATTGTCATCAGAATATACAGCTATTTCCTTTCTACTAAAGAAAATTAAAATATGACACCGTGGCACCCAGCTACTTGGAAGGCTGAGATGGGAGTCCAGAAGATTGAGGCTGCAGTACAATATGACGGTGCCAGTGAATAGCCGCTGCGCTCCAGCCTGGGCAACATTGTGAGATCCTGTCTCAAATTTTAAAAATTAAACAAAAATTTTTAAAGTAGAGCTGTCTTTGGATATATGGCAACTCACTGCAGAGCAGAAGAATATGCAATAAACTAATATATGTGGGTCAAGTAGTTTTGTTTTTTGTTTTTTTTTAAGAGACTGGATCTTAACTCTATTGCCCAGGCTGGAGTATAGTGGTGTGAGCTCAGCTTGCTGCAACCTCTGCCTCCCCTACTCAAGCAAACTTCCCACCTCAGCCTTCCTAGTAGCTGAGACTACAGGCACGCATCACTGTGCCCAGCTGATTTCTGTATTAATTTTTTTTTTTTTTTGGTAGAGACAGAGTTTTGCCGTGGTGCCCAGGTTGGTCTCAAACTCCTGGGCTCAAGTGATCTGCCTATCTTGTCTTCCCAAAGTGCTGGGATTGTAGAGTGAGCCACCTCCCTGGGGCAGAGATTGCTGTCTCAGCTTTTATTGTACCATTTCCTGACTGAAAGTAGCCCCAGATTTGGCCACGTTTTTTCCTATCTTGACAAATGCCAAAGGTGATGAACTAGAGTTGTATGTAATCATAGTGATTATTTTATGCTCCTTTCTTTAGTCATAATAAGTGATTTGAATGTTTGCATGGAAATTTGCTGCAGGACAAGCTACTTGCCTTTTTGTGCTTATTGAGTGTTTTTGGATACAGTGCATGGAACACATGTATCCTGGGATGAAGGTTAGGTGGCACCATCCATTTGAAATTGTTGGAAAACAACCTGAAAATGGTGTTGGTCAGTGCAGGTGTTTGGATGTTCATTCATCAGTCACAGCAATCCTGAATTGTTTGCTTAAATTTGTATTGCACTGCTAGCCTTACTTGTGATGGAAGGTTGCCAAAAATGCTTAACCTGAATACAAGTAAGCTAATTGATCCAACTTCTATATATAAGAAATATGGGTATAAAGGAACAAGTAAATTGAGCATGAGGGAAGAATTACACCAGAATATGGGACATTCTATAAGAAAACACCTGAATTTTTCCAAAAGTCAGTGACATTGAAAGGCGTGGGGAACTGTTCTAGATTAAGAGATAAACAGATGTAACAATCATGTGCAACGGATAAATCTTGATTAGATCTTGGTTCAGGAAAATAAAGCTGTAAAAAAATGTAGGGGCCACTGGAAAATTTAAATATGAACTCAATATTAGATGATTTTAAAGTATTGCTAATTTTATTAGCTGTAAAAACTATTTTATGGTTTTTTAGGAGAACGTCCTATACTGAGGTATTTATAGAAGTGACTGTTGCAAATTTTTCAAAATGAAAAGTATAGACAGACTGGCTAGAACACCTTTTAGAATGGTTTTGGGAGGTGTGTGCATGTGTGTATTTGGGGATGATAGGGAAGAGCAGAAGAACTCTGGGCATTAGCAATAGCTAGACAAGCTCAGAAGTAATACAGGAGATTATAAAAGCATTGTCAGGAGCAAAAGACAATAGAAAGCCAGATGGGTCAAGGTTTGGCAAGAAAGATGTGGGCAGTGGAGGTTGTAGCAGTCACCAGGAGCTCTTTGAAGGCCAGGAAGGAAAACATGATTAACATGTGAAAGAATTACTTTGACTTCCCCACATGCAGGAGAGTCCAGTGGGCTTTGCCTTCTGATGCTGCGATAGGACCTTTTTTTCATCTTTTGCCCTCCTTAACTTTCTTGTATAGCAGCTCCAGCAGCAGTCTTAAGATAGTCTCTTAAACTTGGAGTTAATCGGATTTGTTTGCATCACAGCCCCTGAAATTACCCTTCTTATCTGGATATTTCCCGCCCCATATTCATGTCACCTACAGATCATTTATCTTAGAATAAAGAGGAATGGGGTGAAATCATCCACATTATTTGTATTGCACAGTGGGTTACAGGGCAATCTTTTAATGAAGTTTACTTAAACCAAACAACCATGCGTGGCAGGGGATATACATTCCCAAATGTAGAGAGGAAAAAAAACGATTAACTTGACTTTTTCCAAAAACCAAAATGAATCCCAGAGTTTTGCCCCGTGAAGACTAGTGGGCCATAGTTTGACATTTAGCGGTGTTGTTGATACTATGTCAGCAGTTGAAAAACTCCAAAAAACTACGCAACGGAGATCTTAATGCTCAAAGATTCCATTAGGTGGCAGTCAGGATACATCTTTTCATGTCCAATCCCCCCACCCCCACCCCCTCCAGCCTTAGGGAAGGAATATTGCCAGGCAGCGTGGTGGGGAGAGAGGAGCTGGGGAAAAACAAACACCCCCAAAAAACTATGGCTTGCAGTATCCAAATGATGAAGACTGCAACTTATCTGTGCTGAATTACCATTTTGGTTCTTATATATAGATGTGTTTGTTTGTCCTTGCTGTGATTCCCTGTTTTATAAATTCTTTTATATCTAAAGCCCGCTATAGACCACTTGTATGCTCTTTACATCTCTGTGTTATTAGTCTTAGAGCATAAGTTGGAAGTGTGGCTCATTTTATGCAAGACCTATAAACATTCAGGGAACTTTTGCAGTGACACCCTCATCCTCTATTACTGCTCTTGAAAGGCTCCCAGTGGTCCTGGCTGGCTTTGTACATTGGGTTTCATGGGGAAAGGACTCTAAGATTTCTGTGCAAGAGGTGTTTGGAGAGTGCCCTTGTGAACGTCACCTGTGA